GCGCCCGGGGGATCCCGCCACAACAGCACTGCGCCAGTCTCGTGAGGGTCCATCGGCACCCAGATCCCCTGATAGCTGATACCATAATCAGTGTCGCAGCCTCTGTCCCTCGGTGTTGCGAATAACTATCACACCAAAGCAGGCTCTCAACTTTGAGTTGTGGACAGCGGCCTACCCAATCATTGCACTGGACAGAGCCCTTGGACAAATCGTCGGCACACTCAAAGCCCACACTCTTCTTTCAGCTGCTCGCTGGCACGGCAGACTCTGCGCACGCATGACGCTTGTACCCATTGGTTAATTCATATGCACGCTCTTTGCATCAGATGCAGGTTGCCGTCGCTTGGCTGGTATGACACCATATGTATTGCTATCCTGGGCCACTATTTGATGCACTGTCACGGTGTACGCTGAATACTGAGATGAAGTGCTGGCACGTAGCACACGCAGGCCATTAGTAATTGTTCATCGCATTTCGTTAATCCCAGCACGATGTCTATCTGAGTATATCCGATCAACGCTTGGTTCATTACGAAAGCTCCCCCCGTGACATACCGTGAGTTTACTTAGTAGTGCCGTTTAGCGCAAGGCAGACGGAACGTTGCAGCCAGAACGTGACTCTCTAAATGTCATCTTAATCAGTCTCACATCCATCTAAGCATTCATGGATAACGCACTGCTTGCACTCCCACTATAGACTTTTTGACAGACAACCCCATTCGTCCAGCAAGGCTCTCCCTAATAAGCCGCTCGGCGAGCATGATCTCATCGTCGTCCGGCTTTGGAACGCCGTGTGCGAGCTCACGGAAGGTATCGAGATGCCCATACGTCGCAATAAGGTTGGCCATACATTCCAAAACCACCATTTCTTTCATAAGATCACGGTTGCTGGAGTGCTGCGTTGCATAGATATAGTCCAGAGCGTACTCATAGATGCTTTGTAACTGATGCTTGGGAGGAGGACTGAGACCCATCGCTGAGGGAGGGCGGAGAGCGTCAAGGTTCGACCCCATCCCTCAAGCACTTTATACGTGATGAACGAGCATTATTCATAGACAGCGTAATATTATGCGCTTCAAGTTGCCCCTGATGTTTTCTGGCCCTGCCTGATCCTGCTCAGACAGATCTTGTGATCCCGTCTCACCGTACTTTTTCTCCGATCTCAATCGTCCGACGCAAATTGGGGGTTTCCGACGCGAACATTATACTTCCGACGAGGCAAGGTGGCCTTGGGAACTCCTGTCGGATGGAAGCTCGATCCCCGTAGATGTCGTCGGAGCTAGTCCAAAGGCGTCGGAACCAGACGATATCAGAGACATTCCGCACACGGTAATTTGACCGTTCGCTCACTCAGTCGTGGTGCGGGTTGGAGCGTCGCCTCGACGGTCGCTCGGAGCTTATAGGCCGCTCAAGCTTGCACGAGCGGCCGTTCCGAGGCCATCGCAAACAGTGGTGGAGCATCCGCAGTCGCTCTTCGTTCGGTCGATGTGAGCTCAACACCGTGTGCGGAATGTCTCTATCGAGTGGGCCGGACGATGATTGATGGCGGACGAACTCCGTTGGTGGAACCAGCCGCGTCGTGAGAGAGCATCGCGTGGATAGGGTCCGACAGAAACCACTTGACTTCACATCAACCGATACATGCTCTAGCTCTGCGACCCCTCTCACTACCTCTACATTGAACTCTCTCCGCTATCGTGCACGTGTGTCATCGTACTCTCGATGAGTATCCACCGCAAGCCCGGGGATTGGGTTGAGAGGCCATTTTCCGGCGTTGCAAGAACTCATAAGGCTCAGGGGAATGTACAGCCGGTACGCATTCACTTACAGTCGCCGCCCACCCGTTTTGCGAGCACACTCTTGCTTTGCCGCATGCCGCCCCCCTGTTGAAGGCGAATCTACGTACTTACGCCCATTACATACAGCCTTTCAAGATGTATAGCTGTCAACAGTATGGTCTTCAAGCTCATACTGGCGGTTCTAATCACGTTGGAGTGCATATTCCTCCTTACGGAGTCGTAGCCGTTACGAACACGAAGCACACGCATACGGAGGCTGTGAAGCGAATGAACCTCTACGATCTCATGAAGGGCAACAAATCAGTACCGCGCCCAAGCACGCAGAGCAGACTGTACAAGCCAGCGAGTCTACCGCCTCCTACCAGAGGAAGGAGTGCTACCGGAGCTGCAGACGCGCAATCAGTATTGCGTCAGTCTCTTGCTACGAAGACTCGGATCTCTGCTTGCCATAGCACATGCGCCGGATCCATTCTGAGAGAGACATTGGAGACAAGAACCACTGGATTGGTGTCATGTACCGGGCAACAGCCATCGCAAGAGTTCCACTCTTCACGCTCCATTCCCATCAGAAATCCTGGCTGTGAGCTTGGCTCTTGTCACACGAAAAGAAATGATACTTATTTCACCACTAGATAATCCTAGCTCAGAACCCGATTCTAGGCACCTTGTATTACCTCCGCGTGCTCAGCAACGACGAGTGGGAGTTGTCACTACAGATAAGCCTAGGGGTAGGAAGGCACGTAGTCATCCCCCTCATGTGCGCAGGATTGTCCAGAATGAAGCAAACTGCTAACCATACTGCCGAGTGCCATCTCATATCATACCGGCATCGTCTGCTCAAGCATTGACGTTTGTAAACCAGAGTCAGGGATGTAAGTCGTCTCGCGTGGGCTACGCATAGACCGGTTTTGACTAGTACAGTGGCACAAGAATCGGAATCAGTACTCTCCACACCCTCTTTATGCCACTACAAGCTTTCCTAGTCACATAAGCAATCGTTAAGCCCTAGTCGCTCACAGCTATCTAGTCGGAACTCATGCAGAAAGCGAAGAAGAATTTAAATGCAGAGAAACGCGCCGAAAACAGGTTGCCAACGGGATGAATTTAAAGGTCTCGTCTAGAAGAAAGGCGCATGACTATGGTGACTATCGGAATGGCATTACGGGGATTGGGTGGCGGCACGGGAATTGGAGTGGCGGGCCGGGGATTGGAGTGGCAGTAGGGTCGGAGTGAGGGTGTGATCGTGTCGGAGCGACAGTCGTGTCTCAGGCTGGGCTCATCGGAACGCTTCCCTGGTCTTGTCCGACGCTCTCTAAGCAAAATGTGAGGGCGTTAAGGGGCCATCCATAATGCTGTTGTGCATGATATACTGCGATGCACTGATATCACGACATCCTCTACGACGTGTGTTTCCCCTTGGTTCCGGGGAGACTCGCGAGTGGTGATGAGAAAGCACTCGAGGGAAGATCAGTGTCCAACTATACCAACGTCAGACCGTCTGATACTTGCCCTACTAGAGGACGACCATAAACATGGCAGAGGTTCTAGAGAAAAATTGGCGTGAGAGTCGCACTATCTCTGGTTTAAATCACGACTCGAGCGCTTACACGACCTAGAACTCGACCACCGTCAGAGACCTCCACTCGACCGACTCGGTGAGATTCCAGCTCTTTTGTCATACATTCCACTCAGTAATAACCCTTTGGAAGTTGAAATGATACCGATTTCTGTCTCGTTCGTTCGTATGGCCATGTCGGCGCTCGTATACGCCATCGTTGCCACAGCGACGCACTCTGCGTCTCCGCCGACGCTCGCGGACCTCGTCCCCAGTCTCAGTCACGTATCAGCGTCGCACCCATATCTGCCATCAACTCCCGTTGTGGCCCAGCTGGACTCGAATCGACTTGACGAGATCCTCGACTACCTCCACGTTGTGAATGAAAATTACCGAGGGACTGGGAACTCATGGTCCGATCCGCAAGCCGGGATATCCGTCCCAAGACCGGCTGTTGTGGAGACCTGGACTATGCACCAAAGCACCCCCGAAGGCGACTGGTGTACCAATGGACGCCTATCATCGATTCCACCTCGAGACCCTGGTCCATCTCCTCACGTCGAGCGGCATTATTACACGGGCATTCCTCGCGAGCTACGCACTGCTTATCCCGGTACTAGTGCGGGGAGTGTTTGGCCGCCACCAATGTGGTATACGCGTCTTGAGCCCTGGCGAGCTTTCTTCGCCCGACCTCCGGCGGACACGCGTGCGCTCCTCTGGCATTACGCCGATGATCATCGATACCTCATTCTCGGGTCCCCAGGCGGCTACTATACGCTCTCAGATATCACGCTCGAAGCCATGAGGCGCGTCGCGCATGACGTCATGGCCTTGTCGGAAGCGGCTGCTGCATTGACTGGTGTCACTATTCACTCTCCTAATCCGGTGGCCGTGTACTCTCAAGGGCACCGTCCTTACTTTTCCTCAGCGGCCAACCTTGTAGAAATTCTGGACGACTTTAGATGGAGCGCCATACAGCACCTTGCGTACGCTCGTATGCTTCTCCTCGCTCTCTCCAGGTCGGAGTTGAATAGCTTGCTCCCGCAAGTATGGACCCCCTATCCTGGAGAAAGCGGGCTATCATTTCGAGATATGATGGCCGCGTACCAAGTCACAACTACCGAGCACGTCGGCACTCTCCTTGATACGAGTTCACCCCTCCAGCAGTGGCCGTCGCTACTCATGCTCGAGTACGCCGGAGTTCCACTATGGTGGTTAGAGAGATTCGGGAGAGCACCCACTAGACATGAAGGGATTTTTAGATCAAGTACCACTCACTGGCGTCGAATTGATATAGGTAGGCCTGATGTGCCGACGTGATTTTCGACCACTGACGCATTATATATATATCAGGTCGACCGACAATCGCATCAGTCGTCGGCCGTGCAGAGCGTCCCCCAGCCCGCGCGGAGTCTTCTCTTGCTCAACCAGCTCCTCTGTTGTACTCACCGTCGGCATACTCTATTCCTTCCCCACACCCTCAGTCTCTACACGGACAGGCACCCGTGGGTAAGTGTGTATTTCTGACGAGTTTTGCGCGTCTATTAAACGCACCGCTCAGATTCAAACGCAGGGGCATCATCCTATGGAATTCACCCACAAATCCAGACGCATACACAGCAGCAGAACTCTGCCCATTCAGGCAATCAACATGTTCACTCTTCGGCAGGGACATCCTCCGGCGTTCATGCAGTCCCTATGCCCCCCCCTCATCTTCAATTCGGAGGTTCGACTTGGGCTTCTCAGCCATCTGGGAGTTCAAACGGGCAATCAAGCGTCCAGGTTTCACAGCCTGCCTTCGGATCTTATACAGTAGGCGCATCATCCGCAACGGGTGCCTTCGCAAATCCGGGCGTTGGTTCATATGTGGACATCCCAGGCGGTGCCGTGTCCTCTGGCGACGGCATCGCGCATGAGACGCACGAGACCTTACTAGGGGCTCAAGAACACGGTAAGGTGCTCTGGCGCTCTGATCACTGTCAACACGCCGCTCACGATTCTTTCAGATCAGAATCTGTACGCTGGAACCTCCGCTGGCCAAATGTACAGTAACTCAGGTACCGCCGCCAACGGTGCCTCCTCGATCTACCCTAGACATTCTCAAGACTCTCAGCCGTCAAGTTTCTCTGTTCCGTCTTCGACCCTCCCTCAGTTTGCACCCACCGCCTCCCGTACCGCAACTGAATCTGTTCGCACAACGCCCACGCCCACTGGATTGGCCCAATCTTCCATCGCTGGCGTGCTTCCACCTCAATACAGCTCTGGCGGCTCTGGTGATATCTCCCGGTACGGCTCTGAAGGCGTCTTCCCATCGACAGCGGCAGCCGGCGCTGGTCTCGCAAGAACACGTAGCGTACCTCAGACGTCCGACTCTGGTGCCTCAGAATTGAGCTCGGTCGCCGGTGGGCAGCGGCACCAAGGCTATACGCACTCAGCAGCCGCAGATTCATGCTCACGAGGGTATGCGACAACGGGCGACGGCGCTTCATCGACGGCTCTTATCGTATATTCCGAAAGGGTCGGACAACGCATCGCGGGCGCTGTCCAATACTCGGACAGTAATCGTCATCTCGACGGAGCCTCTGACTCCTCGATCACAGTCGGCGACAATCGCGGTGGCGAAGTGGCGCCGTCGTCCATCGCGACGCCATGCTGTCTCCCTTCGCATGACTGCTTGCTGGTCGGCAACTTGCGCTCCCTTGCGTGTACCCGCGGGGCTCTGTATGCTGAGCTCGGAGACGTGCGCGGGAATAGCAGCTCGTTTGGAGTCATCCCTGAGGGTAGTGGGGCGTCATTGTTGCCAACGCCGAGGGCCCGTCATAGTCGTTGCGCAAGAAGACCAATCCGGGCTTCCCCTGCGATTCATGAGCATGCGACCGCTCCGGTATCTGCTTGGGGAAGTGCCACGAGTAGGACGGCGTTATTGAAGACCATCCACTTGCTCGACATTCCGTCGATCAATGAAACCCACGCGGCGCACAACAGTTCCGAACGACACGTCGGCCATGATGTCTCTGACAACGAGGGGTATCGCGCGGCGTACCAATGGCTCGCGCTTCTTCTATATGTGATCATACAGCTTATGATGAGTAAACTTCGTCGCACGAAGTAGGCGTCGTGCATAGAATGGACGGTATTAATGCATGTATTCGCTTTTCAAAACGCTCGCCATAGACTTAAATTTTATCTGACTCCAAGTACCGCTCTCTACAAAAAGTGTATCTTTCAAGGCCCGGGTACCGGATGGGAACTATAGGTGCATCAATAGCGTCCTGAAACCGAAGATACTGAGGTAGCGGGAGTACTGTGACCATAACATCACTGAGGAGCTCATGGCTACTGCGTAAATGCTATACCACTGGGCTATCGCTGTAACAGTTGAGCTGCGAAGGCGGTCTCGGCAGATGCCGTCGAAGCAATGCCAGCAACGACGCAACTCTTCTAGTAAACACGTCAATTGCGCTCCTAGCGAGATACTACTCCCATCAAACTGCTGTATTGTGATATACTCGCACTCTCGCACTCGCAGCAAGGCTACCCTCATTCAGAAACAATACCATCGGCAGCCCAGCGCTTGATATCTCCTATGCACCTAATTAGGTGGTATCATTATCATAGGGCTAATGCGTATAACTGGCGCCAACGACAAAAAGAAAACCAACAACGCGGTAAGTGCGAGGGCGCTACGATGAAACTGGAACGAGAGCTCCGAGAATGGACGAGGCAACCAGCGCAGGGGGAGCCTGGAATAGATAGCAAAGTATGGTACAGTATAAGTAGTAGAACAGCTAGCGCTGAGCATCGGAAATGCAGGAGATAGACAGACGTATGATGTACATGAGGGAGGGAGATTGAGTTAGTAGGGAGTATAGTACAGGTAAGAGATATGGACCAGAACCAGGAAAAGAGTCCATATCCAAGAAAAAAAGACAAAATATCGTAGAGCGTACGGCGGAGAACCAGGGGAACCGCTATGCAACTCGAAGATAAGAGTAATTGGCCTATTAGGTGGTGTCCGAAGCGCAGGTACGTTCTAGGGGCGTAATGCTAGGGGTTCGATGTGAGGGCAGTGTCGAAGTCTTGAATGGGTGAAGTCCGGTCCGAGATCGAAGACTGCGGCCCTTCGGAAACGTGCGTCGAGTTCCAGGAAGACGAGACTATGCAAGAGCACAGTAGTCGTTGATCGAGGCAAAGGAAGAAGACGTACGCGTACGGAAGCGCATATAGCGGGAGACGAGTCCAACGCGGTCACGTGTGATGCCATCTCGGCGACGGGGGAGACGCGACTTGCTGCCGGCGGCGGGTTCTGCGTTCGAAGCCGAAAACGGGGTGTCAGGGCATATATGCCCCAGTCACTGGCCTGTGAATTCGGACAAGCCATTATACTCTGGCAACATACAGTTCCGGCCAGTAGCATCGTCCTTGACTCCTGTTTATTTTGGCATATACCTGGAATGCGTGATCTTGGGCCAAACCTGGGTTCTGCCAATGCGTGGGATCAAACTCCTACTGCATCTAATCTAATGTACACAGCTGCTTCTAAAGCAATTATATTCTGAGTTTCCCTTACTAGTTGTCAGAGCGTTTAATTACGACGACGTCTGCATGCATGAAGGCTTGCTGTGGCGAGCAATGTCCTCCTATTGAGTCGTGAACGAGAGGAGCACATCGGTAGCCAGCTTGTCATCTTGATACACTAGTATACATCTCAAGGCGTAGAACTCCTTACTCCCTCGCCGGTATCAAGAATCTCTCGCCCTTGCTCCTTATTGCCTGCCTTCGGTCTATCTCATCATTACTACACTCGAAGTCTGGTATGATTCTCATAACGCCTCAATTAGTAGGACTGGCTAAGTATCTTTCGAGGTCATAACTAGATGCTTTCTATCATCAAGGCTGTTTTATTTCGCCGCCCTCGCTCAGCGGTACTACCGGCAACAGACGTTCTCGACATCCTCTCTGAGCCGACTTCGAAACGCGACGCGCTTATCATGCGCGAATATCTTGCATATCGCAACCCGGGCAACACGGCGGCGAATGAGAGCGCATACCTACGCTACGTCTACAAGAAACGGGAGAGGGAGACCAGGCGTCGGTTGCAAGCCAACGCGGCGGGCTTAGTTGCAAAGAGTCACTCTCTGCAGGCCGTTCGTGGCGGCGAAAGGGCGATCGTTGGTGGGCCTGAGCCAGCTATGATCAATGGACGTTACGCACCTTGCAATAGAACGAGTTCGGCTGGGAGGTATGTAGCGCTGATCTGACATCGGTTATCCTCCCAGCTGCTCATACGACACCGTCCGCAGGGTTGATGGTTCGGACAGCGGACTCAAGAGCACCTCAAAGAAGCACGCGCGCTCAACTAACGTCCGTGATCGTCGGTGAATCTTCGATTGCTGGGGAAGATAGCCGAGATGGTGTATGCTTGAATTAAGGATGGAGGGGTTTGAATGACGAAGGGTGGATCAATGGGGCTGAGCTTCTGGGTTCCTTGCGGTCTGCGTCTGACTTCGTCTGTCTCTGGTCGATAGGTCTCGTTTCCCTGTGATAAAAATGATTGAATAAACGCGACGCCTTATGGAGTTTCAGACATATGCTTGACTGTGTAAAATGCTCGTTGGCCTATAGTACTCACGTCATGGTGGATAGCATCTGGAAACGCCCTCCCCGCTAAGTGGCGCTTAGTATAGATCAGCGGCGCGAGGTTGAGAGGGCGCAGGAGCAGGTAATAGCGCTATAATTGTTAGATAGAAGTAGCGTATAGTGGCGAAATGGAGAAAAACGCGCCCTTTCTGTTCACTGATCCAGTGAAACCAATTGAATGATTGGGCTGTTGGCCCGGTTTCTTCCGCATTGCCTTGTCAAAATGGGGGTAGCACGCGATGCGTCATGAGTGATGAAAGAAATATCATGTATAACGGGGCAATTACAGGGATATAAGGTATGCATGCAGGCGGGCAGCGCGAAATGTTACGAAACGAGTAGCGGGAGGGCAAGCAAGGGTAAACGGGCGCGTATACAGGTGGCGGGAGGGGGTCAGACGGACGTAAGGCGGTTACAAGCAGTCGTGTCTGAGGCGGGAGATGAGGTGGATGCGGCGTTTTTTAAAGAATGTCGCCGGGGTTTGCTTTTAAGGGGACACAAACGGAAGGACGATGTGCCAGTATCGTTCCTTGCCATGTTCCTCCTCGTCGACATCCGCCGGGCTAGAAAATAACAAGATGCAAGATCGGCGTTACGCAGCGCATGAGCAAGTACGCACCCCTTCGATGATGTTGGTCCGGTGGAAGCGAGACGCCTTGGGCTTGGTCTTGTGCTTCCCTTTCTTTGACTTCGAGCCCGGTGAACCCGATCTTATCAGACAAATACAAGACGAGGAGAAGCAATATTCGCACCTCAGTGTCTTCGACAGGCGTAAGTGGTACGATTTCTTCGGCCTGAGTGAAAGCGTCAGCCCGAACACCGCAGGCCGAGGCTGGTTGGGGTGCGGGCGCGAGAGCGCGGGGGGCCGGCCCGGACGAAGTAGGTGGGGATGGACCCCGCTGCATTGTACCCAGTGCAGAGCACAAGGGCTGCGGACGGAAGAGACGTGGAAATCGGTGGTGGTGGGCAGCGGCGACGGCGGCGTCGAGGTGGGCCATGATGATGGTGGTGGTAGGACTGAGAGAGACGATGCGACTTGTGGCGTGCGCTCAAGCGTCTCTCCCACACCGGTCTGCCTCCCACCACCACCATGGCCCATCTCATCCCGGCTCTCCCTCCAGCGCGCTCACCGCGCACGAGTACTAACAACATACGCTACAGATAACGAAGTTCTACTACACATGCGGCCCTTGTGCTCTGCACTGGGTACAAGGCGTGGTGGGACTTGAACACCATTGTCTGCATCCGGCACTAACACGGGCATACCTCCGAGATTGCCTGGTTGAACGGGAGCTTTTGCGCGTGCAGGCGGGCGCGCGGGAGGAGCGGGACGAGTAGCGGGCTGATTCGTGGCGGGCGCGGTGGTCGTCTTTGACCTTAGCGTCGGCGACGTCGCCCCCTGCCCTGCAAGAGATTTAGCAGACGTGTTATTATTCGAAAGGTGAGCTATGGTCTACCGCTGGGATTTGAGCGCGAGACGCTGATGCTCGAGCAGGTTTATCTTCCTCGCCGGAGTCGTCCTCGACACCTGAGGGAGTGGGTGACGCTGGCTTGGCGACAATCATCCAGTGGGTCTTTGGCATGGCGGTGTTGACGACAGGGCTGACGCTGAGGACCCGATTCAATGAGGACGGCGGTAAATGCGGTAAAGGCAATGGACTTACCGCTTCGGTGATCTAGTTCCGGTAGCGCTGGTCTGTGCATCGCCTTCATCTTCGTCAAAGTCTCGGACGGTTCGACGCCTGCGTCCCCGCCGTCCGTCTCATCCTTATCCTCATCCTCCTGGTCAGTTCATGGCGAATCGTCGGCGCCAGCGTCTTTGTCGGGCCGTTATGTCTGGCTCCACCCTGGGCCGACTTGGCCTTCTCTGCGAGCCTCTCCTTGGCGGGTGCGGACTCGCGCTCTATGGGCTGTCGCTGCTGCTGGTCGGCGCGGTGGCGCTTGACTTCGTCGGGCTCTGTGCGGCCTATATACTGAAGGTAAGACTTTCTCATCGTTCCTGTCCATTGGATTGAAACTTACCGGATTGCTCCAGGACCTTCCTTTTCGACGAACGCATGCCGGTTGAGTCTGGGATGTGGGCGTTCATGGGCGTGTGCAAGATGGGCGCGGTGGTGGAGGTTGACTGGCCTCAATGGCAGCGCGGCGCTGGGCCACCTCTAGCTCGGAATCCTGGTCTCGGAGCTTCTGGAAGGCGCCATCGAGCTCCTCTCGCGACCAGTCGCCTGCCGCCAAGTCACTACCTCCGATCATTCACCAAGAGGAATTTGGGTCTCTTGCGCGCTATGGGCGCGAAACACCAGGCCGTCTGTCGCGTTCTTCTCGGTGTCATCCACGATATCATCCCACTGCCCTGCCGGCAAGGTCTCGCCAACAATCGCTCGCGCGGGCCTCTTATACGATTTGTGCGCGCACTGCCTGGCTTTGTGTGCCTCGCGCAACACGGAGAGGCGAACGAGGAGCTGCTCATGAAGTCGGACGAGACGCTGTACCGCTTCCACAACAAGAAGGCCGTCTTCGTCCGCGAGGGCGCGCGCAAGAGCTTCAACTTACCGAAGCCGCACTGAAGCTGCATGGGCTGTCGCACTATATTGACTCGGTTCGGTTACTCGGCGACCCCGACAGCTTCAACGCGTCGTACTCGGAGCGGCCGCACATCGACTACGCCAAGACCGCCTTCCGCTCCACCAACCGCAACGGCGAGTAGCCGTAGATGATTCTGTGGATCCAGCGACGCGAACAGACGCCCACGCGCCGTATCTTCATCAACCGGCGTCTTGAAGGTCGTCCGGCATGCCATGCGTCGACCCACCCAGTGCGCCGAAGCAGAAGCAGAAGCAGAAGCAGAAGGCCGCCCGTACGCCCAACAAGAAGTGCTTGAAGTCTGAGGACGCCTGACTTCTGTTCGGCGCGGAGGACTTCGTCAGCGGCCTCAAGCACGCCGTCGCCAAAACCCAGTGCCCCGCATATACCGATGACCAGGCCGCTGCAATTGCAAATGCCATAGGCAACCTGGATCTCAAGCCGGTTCGCGCATGCCACCGGCTGAAGTTCTAGCACGAGGATGTCCAGGGGCATGACGGCGGCCTGGTCATAGATTTACCAGACTCAATGGTTTCGCGGCCTGCGAACCGCGATGCTCAGGGCCGTCACAAGCAGGGCCGCCTCAACATGGCGTTGGTGGGCGAGTTTGGAGATGCAGAGGTGCTGGTATTCGATATTCCAATACAGCCCTACAGGATAACGCATTGCTCAAGCACGGCTCATCTATAGCCTATCCGAGAACACTTGCGACGGCGTATCTCACCACACCGCCAGCACTCCTTCGCATTTCGCCTACGTCGAGTGATTCTTGCATATTTCCGGGGCGTCTGAGCACTCGCGCGACATGCAACGTCTCAAGCGCAGCGTCTCCCTTATCTCCCGCTTTCGCCTTCACATCGATCCGGCTTGGACAGGCGATGGTGTCCTTGAGCCCCACGAAGGCTTTTGATAATCGTCTTCGGATCGTCACGCTTACATAGCTCTCAAGTAGTTTAAGCGCCATGTATTCCATGTCCTCTGTACATCATATCATTGCTTGGATCTAATCGTCTGCTTTGAATGAATAACTTAAGCGATGCCTCAAAAGGAGGCGAGTATGCACGCGGTTCTGTTGAACGGTCCCGTGATCTCGTGGATCGAGGTCAGCAAACTCGAGCCTCGCGCTTTCACCTGGAACGCCACCTCCCCCACTACCGCCGCTATCTTCCCCACTTCCGCGAACACGGCCGCCATCGACTTACCGGCGTTAAGGCCGACGCCGTTCTCGAAGCCCACGCACGCCCTTGCTCTCTGAGCTGGGCACAAGTGCGCGGGGCAATCTTCGAGTACCCTGGCCCCAGGCGCCAGGTCAAAGGTGCGCCACAGTATTCAGCGCGATGACGCTCCTTACCCGGCCTTTAGTGATAGACCATGGCGCCCGTGCACAGCAAAATTGCGGAGGTGAGCATTTATATTGCTTAACCTCCATCATTCACCCTCCCCCTTTTGCAAGGCCGCCTGTGCCACAGAGGACTTGCGCAGCGATTCGCCTAATCTCAGTACGCTTGGATGAGCTTTCACCAGGGCACTGGCGGGCGTACTGCGGCGCGCGGCTGGTTCGTTCGCGCTCTGACGCCGTGTGCGCGCAGGCGGGCCTTGCAACTAGCCCTACCGCATTCGATCGTATCGACGCGCTTCCCCCACCTTTCTTTGCACATTTACGCGCCTTTCGACCTTGACTAACATATTTTGAGCCTTCTACAGGTCGAACGCGGTCCGGGCGCGGATTCTCGGCTTACCAGCCCGAGACCATCGAGGCGCCTATCGACTATGCCCTCCTGCTCAAACATGCGGTCGAGGTGCAGCTCGAGCAGGCTGAGGACGACTGGGCCCGCTTGCACGGCACCGTACATACGGACCCTTTCTCCCATCACCAATCTACGCCATACCCCCGCCCTTCACGCCCTCCATCCCCCTTGACGCCGCCCACCCGCGGCCGGTCACCCCCCGCGCCGCCACCGCCTCCCAGCCCGCCCCCTTCGCGCACCAGCACCGTCTACGTCATGGAGCTTGACGAGCTGGTCAGCGGAATAGCGCAGACCGAGGCCGCGTCGAGTAACGCCGCTGGACGTAAACGGCCCGCATCCGGTAAGCCCTGGGCCCGAATATTGCCCCAAACCCTCCCTCACCTGTAGATTAGGACCAGACGGCGGAGACGAGGCTTGCGCAGGATCCGCCAAGAAGCAACGCAAGAGATCCGAGGCTGATAGGCTGAAGAAAAAGGAGGCGTCGAAGCGGCGCATGAAGGCGAAGCGGGGAGCACCTTTTTTGGCGCTACTCCCTCACAGCGATGAACTGCGGTCTCCCGCCGCCCGCTTTCTACCACGAGCATCACTCGGGAGAGCCCGCCAAATGTGCGTTGTGCGATGCACCACCAACCGTTCCCGACGGCGCTTACATGGACCACGACCTGGACAACGAGGACGAGGACTGGGAGTATCCGAGGGGCTGGAACGAGCAATAGGCGCTTTCGCCGCCGCCGCCAAACCCTGTCCCCCATGCTCTTTGTGAAATTATCGCCCTTCTATAGTCTAACTACCGATCTCGTACCCCCATCCCTCCATTACCATTACGCTTACCCGTCCTATCATGCTATCATCGTACTGATTGTTCTCGTTCATCTTACTATTCTAACATACTGTCCTACTTCGTACCGTCATCGTGTTTAGCGAATAGATTCCGTCCTTCCGACCTTGCGCTGTCGCGTGGGCGTCATCGGCTTTGAGCGCACCGAGCCGTGTGACCATCAGTGCACATCGGGCCAGACCAACGTGTTTGCCCATCTCTCCTCTAACCGTCACCCTGACAGGAGCTCTGTGCTTCATAGTGCTCGTTTTCGTGGTCTGGACTGCTTGGCTTGTTGCTGAGACTGAGCTTACTATATCAATTGTCGGTGCCGATGTCGGAATCAGGCCCGAAACCGGAAGATCTTGTCCCCATATTGCAGAATCTCGAGTGGCAGTCTTGCCAACATAGCGAATATAGTAAAATTTACGAAGCATGGTGGGGGAAAAGCAGGGAGGAGCTGGAGGAGCCCGCATACCCCGAATGGCAAAGCGGTAAGCCATTACTTTTTCCCGACGTGGCAACCGCTCAAGTGTGAGGTTCACCAGCACTCAGAGAGCCAGCCACGGGGAATACCGTATTACTCGATGCGCTCGAGCTTGGGATTGTGCTTGAGAATGATGTACATCTTGAGCCGGTCAAGTATCACGTTCTGGACGACGACGGCTTGATCACAACACTGAGGGAGACACAAAACCGGATTACGAAGCGGGCATCATACCTCAGAATATTCGAGGACATGGAGCAAAATAAAGTTAGCTATACCCTTTCTGGAAGTCCGGGATGCGGTGTGTATTTGTGCTTACCCGCTGTTCTTAACACTGACTTGCGTGTAAAGGGAAGACTTACTTCCTCTTCTGGTCTGTTCTGCAGCGCATGGCCCTGAAGAAGCCGGTGCTGTATAGCCCGGACGAAGGGAGCTATTATATCTTTTGCTCTGCTGGTGCTTGGTTCTGCAGTACGCTTGATACTTTGACTCGAGAAACGAAGTCGAGGTACGAAGATATTCTAAGTCTAGATGGCTGGATCCTGCTGGATAGTCGCATGCCTGGCTCGCCTGCTACATCAGTTCCGGTCGGCATTTATCACAAATACCTTCATCTCTCAACTATGGTTGCATGTGACATTGGGAGCTTGGTATATAAGAGCTGGAGTAGGATTGCCAAGCCTACCCTTAGGATACTCCAGCAAGCGAGCCCTAAGGAAATAATCAGCAGGCAAGTCGTGCCTTCTGGGCTTGATATGACCGCTAATAGACGATCCCTAGCGCTCGGTTATTTGTACCAGAGGCGCGGAGCACCATGAACAGTCAAGAGACCCTGCAGCAGCTCCTCATGCTGCTGCATATTTACGGGTGCTCTGAAAGACAATGTCTGGCGGGTCTCCGCAACGGTGTCTCTCTCTGCCTCGGGCTGCATAGAACATGCATCATGAGGCTCAAGCTCGACGCTCTCGAGGAGATCTTCACGAAACTAAAGGCTACACAGAAAAGCAAGCACGTGCTTTCTCTTGGCGTCGCAGATGGTCTGAGAGAAAGCCTTCGCGTGGAACTCGTAGAGGGGATCATCGTCTCTCTAAACTGTGTTGCTGCACGTCATAGATCTCCCTCTGACGACGTCGCGACGTTTTCTGTATCTTCTTCGGTGACAGCCAAAGAGCTTTCAAGGGCGTATACCGTGCGCTTTAAGGAGCGTTCCCAACAATTCATGTCCACCTGTAACGCACACCCACCTTCGAGAGGACTGGGTGGGATTATATTTGAAAACTTTGGACATTCCTTGCTGTCGGAAGCACCCATCGAGTGGCGTACGCGTCTCAGGCTCACGCCGATACGGGCATATCCACTGCCACCTTCCGATTCTTTGATAACGATAGACACCCTATACCAACATCGCGCCCTTCTAGAATTCTTCAGCGACAAACTCCCTGATCATCCAGTTGCTGAGTATTGCAAGCCTTCCGCTAGCAACAACGCAACATTCGACGCGGTTGTTTATGCAAGGAACGGAGACCCCTTGCCATCTGCAAGCGGTAGCGAGCCTGTGCCCCAGGCATCATCGTCTACTCAGACGCTGCTGTATCCGGAGTCCCCTGCGATGTCTCCAACACAGGATTTCTCCCAAAATGAACTAGAGGCGCTCAATTCTCTCAAACGGCCAGCCGACTCTGCAGCAGGTGGCAGGCGCAGCCACAGGCGGATCGCCGAAGAGGACAGTAGCGCACGCGCTCATCACTGCATAGCTCTGCAGATGACGGTGTCCAACGCACATGGGTGGAAGGAAAAGGGGTTTGTCACGCTTGACAGGGCATTCAAGCCGGATGGCATTCGTCATTTCGTTATTGTCACCCCCTCGGGGGTATCGTGCAAGGCGAAGACGTTGCTTAGACGCTTCAGAGCAGCGAATGTGGAGCAGTACAGCGAGACGTATTGCTGGTACCATCTTGAAATAAACTTGGAGGACACTCAATGGGGCGCTGCCATTGATACTGGTGATGATGATGACGAGCTATTGGAGGACAGTCACGCGTAGACAGTTGTACTCTCGAAGGGGCATATGAGGCTCTTTTCGCTCGATTGCTTGTCTAGTTATAGCTATTTCTTGGATGTGTATGGTCGTGTACTACCCTGAATCTCCTTCACGGACTGTGACTCTTTCTCGTGGAAAGATACACAGGCATACGCTCCATGTTGAAGGCTGCTGTCACGCTCACACCGGGCGCGGGCGGCGCGGTCGAACGAGATTACATGCTCGGGGAGACTGCGGAAAGGCAGGACATGTAGCAGTACTGGTGGGCTGGGAGCCCGCCCGTGGTTGCACTCCGGTGTGGCTCGAACGCGAGGATTTGGGTGGTAATGCGGCGACTAAGTTGCTCGCTCGCGGGCACGTTGGTCGGCTCATGCCGTTGTGCAGCCGCCCGCTCGACATCTGACAACTCTATCGTATTGTCCAGCGATGACAGCGGCTTGACGGCAGGTATGACCGTCGGCAACGTCAAGACTCTGACGAGTCAGCAGATGGGCATAGTCAACTACAGACTCGGCGGAGTCGAGAGAGGAGCATGTACTAACCTGGCAAGGAAGTATACGGGTTATGGCATTGCTCATCTGCTTGATATCATTCACCTGTGATTTGCGACGCCCATAGCGAGACTCCTCGGCAAACCACGTCGCATGTGCCAGTCAAACAAACTGCTCAGTATGGGTAATGAGCTTTTTCTTCAGCGGAGGGGACAATGGGCCGTAGCGACCCATAACAGGTCTTCAAGTAGAGCGTGCGCGCGGCACCTAATCAGATTCGTTGGAAGCAAACGTTCAGTCCGACGTTGATCCGGATCGAGGATTTCAGAGGTGACTGCAATGCTACTGGCTTCGGCGGGAAGACGGCGGGGAGACGGAGGCAGCTTTGACAGACTCGGGGGTATCTACATTCGGGTTAGGGTCAGCATCGCACCGCGGCACACGCGAGTGCACCTCGTCCAGAATCACCATCATCACCGCTCAGTGCGGCTGCTTTTGCATTACTTATCCCCCGGAGGCCGTGCCCGTCTCGTTGAGCCATTCGACTCATGGAACAGTCTGGGCACAGGCCTTCAAGCACGTCGCCGTATCCCAGTTCGATGCTCGCATGGTGATATACAATAGCCACTCTCATTTGCAAAACGTGACTCAAATACTGTACGTAGCCGCTGGGTAAGCTATTGAGTAGAAAGTACGGTCTGTCGCCAGAGCACGTCGGATTACACGGGTGCGCGTCGGATCCCACAACTTTGCGTCGGACTGCCGAGAGGTGCGTCGGAGCGGGCGAGAACCCGTCGGTCCGAATGAATGATGTCCATTCAATGAAGGTTAGATATGTCGGAACGTCATCGGAAGCGCACTCTGGGTCAGGACCACTGCAACCACCACGTTGATGACTGTCCTCGTTTGCTTCTCGATATGGTCGCATTTTCACAGCGCTATGACTTGCGTGAGTAGCCCGCTATGGGACTCTTCCTGCAGGGATCCGCTATCTGCTGAATCTCTCTCGGCAGTCAGTGAATAGCTAAAACCATGACCGTATAACGTCATGATGTCATAGGATGGGTGCGCTTGCTGAAGTACGAGGTATCCCTAGCCTCTATCGCGCAGGCGGGGATGTCTCATCTCCTTTGTTTCGGACTACGCTTCTCGTCCTTTATTGGGTATTCAAAATCTTTTGGGTGCTCCGGAGTCCTATGCTTCTGTTCCTAAGTGAAATACTTTAGTTGCAGCTTTTATTCCGGGAGGGCTTCTCAGGACTGTCGCCGGCGCATGAGATCAAAGATTTCTAGACCGCATGTCGGAGCCTGATCAAGTTTCGCTCGTCCTGGCGCTTGTAGACCTTCTCTCTTTCGATTCGATGCGGAGCAAGCGCCTCGAGGGCGCTTTAAGCGCCTGAAGATATAAGGAAACCTTATGCATAGCAACGAGATCGTGCTCCCCAGTCCCCATCAAATCCCGAACTCCCGCTGCTCGCCATGGTACACGCGGCTATCAAGAATCTTCTTCAGGACAACGTACTACAAAGCGTACTTCGGAAAACGCTTATGACGCGCTTCTCAGTCGACGATCAGGCTCGGGCTCTTTCCGGGAGAATGTACCAGATCGCGGTCGTCCTCTCCGCTGTCATCGGAGGTCACGATTCGAAAACTCAGGAGGGCTGTCTGTCTCTTATAAAACAGGAATATGTACTCTTCTTTTCTTTCAAAGCGGACTGTGTTAAAAACTCTCGTAGTGTCTGCTGCTCGACCTCAGTGTGCAAGGTGAAACGGGAAAGGCGTCGAAAGAGCTTGCGCACGAGATGTGGAAGTACATCACCTGTTTTCCACCCCTGCAGGACGCACTGTTAGTCCTCTCTACAACCGAGGATATCATCAAGGAAGGCGGTAAATTACGCCTGTTGGAGAATTGGGCGTTATGGAAGGAGCGGGGCCAATCTTCTCTGGACTGGTGGCTCCGGTTTGGTGCGGGTCTTATTCCTTCAGGTTGGGCTTCGCTAACGCACACCGTCAGTTTCCCCGCCGCTATCGATGCCTACTAGCACCAATATAAGCCCACAATCATCATTTGCGAGTGGATGGGGCGTACCATCGTCAATGATAACACAAAACATATCTGAGGGGCTGGAAGTCGGGGGGATGCGATTTGGTGTACGTCCGATGCTACCGAAAGCTCATAGTCAGACTGACTCTAAGCAGGCGAGCACCAGCCAAGTATACGAAGGGGACGCTCAGAGCATCGAGCAGGACCTTTACGGCAACAACTGGGTCAATGACGGTCCCGGAAAGAGCGGTACTCTAGAGCACCAAGCTACCGCTGTCACGATTCCACGGGTCACGCAAATGTCCTACGATCTCGCCAAACATTCAACTACGGATGTCTTTGATGGGACAACATACTCTCAGTCTGGCGTACCTTCCCGTACGTGACACTCGCGTTAGATACATCTATCACTCTCGACAAAGAGCTAATTAGTGGCCGGTATAGCACCTCCTACGTCTTCATCCTCCGTCTTTATTGATCCAGATGCTGCGCAAGCGCATGAGCCACTGGATCAATCACAGAGCACGTCCTTGAGAGCCCGTGCGAGAAGTGCCCCCGTAAATGGTAGGATCCAACCCCTTCATGCGCTATATCAACAATTAACCTGTTGAGTGACAGCCCAGGGACACGCCCCTTACACTACTAGGGACCACAACGCCCAACTCGCACCTCGTTCGTTAGCAGAGCCTCAACGCCCCCCGCAGGCACAAAGCTCCGCAGACTCCGCCCGATCCCTCTGCCCCTCGTTCAAAATTCGTCGCCCGGCGGGGTCCATCATGGGCGAACATAGTCCTATCACAATCGACCCAAGTACTGCGCTGCCTTCTCCAGACTCCTTCTTGGGCTTTCAACTCGTCCAGATCATGCCACAGATGCCGTTTGAGGACGGTGTTAATCCGATGCATGGCGACCACAACCTCGCCAGGTACGGACAGGCTCAACAATCGTCACTACCGCCGCCGGGCCAAGCATACCAAGAGCTACATGCAGGGAAGCGTGCATCGGAGGGTAGCTGGCATGGCGACGAGCAAGCTCAAGTGGCGAAACGTCGCAGGCAAGAGTTTGGAAACGGTAAGGAGGCGATGAGATAGTGTGGCGTGCATCTGTTAGGGGCTCACAAAGTGCAGCAATGGGTTATTCATTGTCTATCAAAAATAACGAAGAAGGGGCGGACATAGTTGACTAACGTCCTCTTGAAGCGCTCTTGATCTTTCTCCTCTGTTGATTCCTTACTCCCTAGCTCCGTCTCCCGCTGTTGTATCGACTGTGTCGTACGCTCTCTTGTCGAGATAGTAACTTGCTTCAAATACTATATCATGGTCATGAAAGTCAGTGTGGCCTGTGCACGTCGCTGAGAGAGCGCCCTACGTCGAGCGAAGGTGTACATCTCTGTTGGCAAGTCGCGGTTGATGCACCGGCATGCACACGCGCGTGCCGTGTCACAGTACCTCGTCGACGACGAGCTCTATTCCTTCGTCCTGGCCTCCGTCTCAAGCATGCCGACCACCATAGCCCGCGCTTTATGTATCGTGAATACGAGCATATGCTTCGTCGGACCGAATTACCGTGCCCCCCCAAAAATCTCTGGAGCAGCGAACATATCTCGAAATGACTGCGCGGTTCAAACTCTCTGGCGTGTTGACAAGCTATGACCAAGACCGCACCATGTAGATGCGTTCCGCAAACACAAGGTCTGGGACTAGAGCAGAGTTGATATGTGGGAAGATGCTCCAATATGCGCGGTGAAGATGGGCGAACGCAATGTCTTATACGTACATCAAGCGTCAAAGTCCATATCTGTATCCGAACAGTCCGTAAGAGAGATTGCGTCTCCAAGGGAGGTGCCTTTCCGCAAGTTGGATAGGTACATAGCAGAAAGCTCGCGTATGTGGTGCTCGAGGGCCGGTCGCTTGTGCGCAACCAGTTCATGACGCCACAATACATCAACGTCAAAGGTGTCTTGCTTTTCGTGCTGACTCTGAGATAAAAGCCTTGTTAGTACTGCAAGTGGCAGACTGGACGAGCGGCGTACCAGTATACGTGCCATAATATGGTCTCCATCGCGAAGGAGTTCTTCGACATAGTGAAGTACGTAGACGCCACAGTCAACTTTGTTCGGTTGCTGAGGAACCTGACTCATCATCAGGAGAGCGATAGATCGGAGACCTGACATGCAAACCTTGGCAGATTTGTACACGAACGGAAGCAATGCCGTCATGGAGAGGCCCTTCTTGTCCACAGCTTCTTCCCGTAAGTAAGCGCCAATTATATTTGCCGTCCTCTTGTGTGCGGCTCCAAGGGAATCGAGGGACAAAATATAGGTGTAAGCTCGAGCGATGTCATCCCCAGGTGTACGTATGTCTGGATCACTTGAAGGTCGCGGAAAGGGTGAAAGAGACGGCAGGCGCGCACTAGCGCAATTTTCTGCGACCGCTTCTTCCCGAGATCTAGTCATAAACGGAGCCTCTGTACAGTGACGGAAACAAACGTGAGTCACACAGTACGGCGATAGGGCGGGATGTCGTGCATCACCTTCGGCCGGACGCCCAGGAAGAATATATTCCGGTCGATGAACGACGACGAGATACCAGTGAAAACTGCCACTACTCCGATGTAAGGACAAGGTCGCGATAAGAGCATGGGGGAGCACACGGTTCGTTTACCGGCACGATGAGCCACTTCTTGGAGAAAATATCGACGCTATAAGTCCACTTGCGTACCGCAGCATGCCCACTGGGAGTTTTCAGTGAGTGGGAATGTCTTGGGCATGGCTAACGTGCTTCACCCCTTGGACAACTTGGTGTAGAAGAAACTATTAAATATGTGTACTTGATCATGGAGGATGGGGTCTGCTTCTCTCATGTTTTTCGTTATGAACCTAAGCCGGGTGTCAGTAAACGGCAGGAACGAGAAGACTGATCGCACTTAAGCGCAAATTCGATGACATTGTCATTTAGATATTCTTCAGGAGCGAGACGATCGAGATCCGAGGAGCGCAGGGTGATGGAATTTCGTCCGAGGTCGGGATATATCAATAGACTGTAACACCTATGAGTTGGAGAATCGAAGACTCAATAGATGATACGGTACTGACATTGGGTCTGCCTCGTCCTCTTTGCGCCGACGATCCGGTTGACGGTCCTCATCCGATGAGATATCTGCCCCGATATAGGCGGTTAGGCACCGTCAGTACATATAGTACATATATGCCGTGAACGCACCTAGTATCTGACCATCGGTGTCGAAAGGTATACCTAGGCTCTCGTTCCGCAAGACGTCTAGCCTGCTAGCAAACCTTGCTCTCGTACTTCTGAAGGCACCGAGGGCTGACATGACGTCCGAACAGAGCTTGTGTGTATGGATTACTCGCGAAGATGCATCTTTGATTTTCCTATACGCAGTCGCATGCGCAAAACCGAGTTCCGGCCCGTCTACGGCGAGATGATATGCATAATCCGGCACCGAGAGGGGAAGGGACGCAACACGCGAGACCCATCGCGAGTATGAACCTAGTAGAAATGAGCAGAACAATCCAGCCACAGTACAGAGCATATGCCTCACCTTGATCAAGTAGCGAAGACCAAAACTCAGGGCGATAAGCCGGCTGAAGGCTGCGCTGAGATACGCCAGCTGCATCATCTAAGGAAGGGATTATATTCTCCTGCGTCCTATAGCGCAGAAATGGAGAGTGAGAAGCAGTCCAAACTGCCTCAGACGCTGATATCGTAAGCTCACCCGTTCATGCTGACATATTTGGAGGCTGAAGTGGAGAATTAGACATGACATGTACTTGTGGGCGATCATGGACGTACGCATGTTGAGCCTTTCGAGATCACTCACGCTAAGCAGCTTTGGAGAGCGCCCGGCGTAACCTACTTGAGGGCTGCTTTCCATATTACAGATGGGACGCGTTGGTGACGCTCCAGCGAAGCCGTGTACAACGTGAGTGGGTGCAAGAAGGAAAGTGGCATGCATTCCGACGAGTCGCGGGAAGATCCGACGAGTCGCGTCGCGGTCGTGTCCGTCGCCGGATTTCATCCACCCACCATCTTTCCTTCACACAGCCAATATCATACCATGGTTGAACCATTCAATGACTTGCCGAGGATCCTGCCAAAGTCTTGCTCTGCGATGCTCGTCGCCAAGTATGGTGACGGGCAGTTGGAAGGGCAAATACGCGATTTCCTCGGAGAGAAGAGCAAGGACGAGCGCGTGCGCACAGGGATCGCTCGCCTTGTTGATCTGGCCTACGCACTAGCGCAGGCCCTCGACACCGCACGTATTATGTTTCTGGTCCTTATAGAAGTGGTGCGTCTCATCTCTTCGGCCGCGTGCGTGACTAACTCGGACCACAGCGCTCTCTCGAGGATACCGATCCCAGTGACAGTCGGCTTCGGGATGTCAAACATACAGTCCTCGAGGTGTTTCGAGAAGTCATGGCAGGCTTAGCCCCGGAAGATAACGACGAGATTCGAAACGCTGCTTGGGGTAGCGCTCTACAGCACTTCACCGAAGATGTAGTCCTCTATCGGGGCGAGATTGGTAAGCACACATGGTGGAAAGACTTGGGTGCGTGAATCATTTTATGTCCTCAACTTGGGCACATCTAATACGGCTCTGGTGCAGAGGTGCCCCCGTCAGCCAAGCCCCCAATTCCCCCCCTCAATTCTGGGTCCGAAGACGTCTCTGTGCAGAAAGCCGATGCTGCGCAATCAGTTCCTCCCGCAACTACGGTTGCGCCACCGGTCGGTGTGGCCAACGAGAAGTCTTCCGGTGTACAATTGCCGGATCTCAACAACGTCCCGCCTCCCAGCGCACCCTTACCCGCGGTTGAGGAAACGTCGAATGCTTTGTCGGTCAACGCCCCTAGTCCTCCAAGCGCTACGGGGGAAACGGGAAGAACTGCCCTAGCGCCTCTCAGGACACCGGCGTTGGATTCGCCAACCCCTGAGGAATCTAGCTTCTATAGGGCCATGGCCGCCGTCGCAGCAGCAGCAGAATCAGCAACAACGTCTGAAGCTCGGCCGTCACCCCCTCCGTTTGATGCAGCGGCCACGACGGCTCAGAATACTGCGAACACCCCGCTTGGCAGCGGAGAACAAGCCGTACCCGGGGCCGTGCACCCTGGCGTCGCCAAGTCCCCTATAGCATCTACGATCACACCCGTTGCCCAAGTTCATCAGGTATATTATTTAGGCATGTAGGTGATCGTCGGCAGAAAACTCATATAAATCATTAGGATAGACAGCCCGCGTTTCAAGATATCCCCAACGCTTCTCGGGGCTACGAGGATGCGATCAATCACCATATGGAAGTATCGGGCAATGCCGCAGAGGTCAAGCCCGGAATGCCACCGCGCGACACCGTTGATACACCCGCATCCGATCATGAAGGCGTGGATCACGACGATGAACATGAAGAGGAAAGTTCGTCGTCCGATAAATGGAAGATACGGGGGTTATGTTCCTTTACTGCATACGATCCCGAAGCGGCTTTGCGCGCCTTGCCGCCTGGTCAATTCATGGACGACCTTCACCTGAGCGCCTTTCCCGAATTTAGCGGTATCCGGCGTGAATGGTCCGCTCATTATCGAGTATGTGCTATTCTGTTCACGACGCACGCCCATGCATTAACTATTCCGCCCAGGTCGCGTGCGAGAATTGTACTGTCAAGTTGTCCAAATGCATGTTCATGCCACCGAAGTCGTGGGATGGCAAATATATATCCAGAGCATGTGGGTGCTGCGCACGGTTCCAAAAGCGGTGTTCAGGAAAAAGCCGCGTCTCTCCGGAACAACTTAGAGAGGAGATTATTTTCGATATTCCTGATAACGAGCTCCCTGATGGTTTCGTGAGGGAGGGAGATCCTCCCCCGCCGAATATGGCCGTCCGGATCGCGTTCATCGAGAAGCAGATCGAGGACGGCCATTACCCTCGCTGGCCGGTGTATCTCGAACCCAGTGGTCCGCGAAAAGGCGCGTTTTTGAGGCTGACTTTCCCCAACAATGACTCACTGTCTATTAGGCTGGTTCATCAAAGGCATCCGCGCACCCAAGTTTGATCCAAGCACTCTCCATCAAGCCCAGCTATACACGGAGACTGATTATCCGTTCTTAACTCAGACTCGCAACACAAGCAGGAAGCGGAAGCGGAAGGTTGGACAAGGTTCACCAAGCGATGATGAGGCAGGGCCTGTAAAACGTCCAAAGCCAGATGGTCGAACGTCGGGCAGCGTTGCTACTAAAGGTAAGTCCTGCTGCTGCAGCCACACAATACGGCTCTCAATCAGAAGCGTAGGTTACCCAACAAAGCGACCTCCCAACGCCGTGTCCCGAAAGGCCTTTATCGCTCAACTCGAGAATGCCCTTCGAACGACGATGATGCAGATGATTCTGGATGGTGTGACGTCGTTCCAACAGCACTCCTCAAGTGGAGGTCATCCGAAGGACCTGGCGTCTTTGCGCAGAGTTCAATTCAAGCGTGACTCCTGACCAACATGGATATCGGTACTTGACTTAACGGCGGACATTATATCCATGCTCCTTCAGTGCGGGCGGATCCTCTTTGATACCACTACCTTCAAACAGATGATGGGCGCTCGGTGGAAGGCGCCATTTCACCCTATCCGCAGGCCGGCCGCGCTAATATCGACGTGCGCGACCATACAAGAGGGGTGGATAGACTCCTACATACTGCGCACCTGGTTGTGAGGTAGTCACCACTTCGACGGCTGTAAGGTCGACAGCACTATCGAGTTCTCGGCCTATTGCATACTCCGTTCGATTCGCCTCCATATCCTGTACCATGTCCGTCAAATGTCTTTTGTATTCTTCTGCGCTCGTTCACCTTTACTATGATAGCGTGACTTCCATACGTTCCAGCCCGGGGGTCTGCACGAGTGCGCGTACTACGGCGAATCTTCTTGCGGCGAGCCGATTCTTAGTACGCCGCACGATTGCTACCTAGCGCAGATCAGTTCTATGCACGTGTTAACTTTGAATCACAGCATGCTGCCATAAGCTTGTATAACCAAAAGAATCGCCATTTGGGTCCCACACCGATCCAGAGAGAGCCTCCCGCGCCGGCGGGCGCATCACGGCGGGCGCATCACGGCGGGCGCCACGAGGCCCGCAAATTCGCGGCGCGGCAAGGCCGTACCTTCTGTCAATGGCCCGGTCAGTCGAGGAGTCGAGGCACCGGGCTCCAAGACCGCACCTTCGTCCAACCAAGCGCGGTGCGATAACCTTTCGACCGCCAGTACCACCGCATTTTGCGCTCGGTCCTCGCTTGCCCTGCGACCTCGCCTGATTTTTCCCGTCTCCGTATCCTTGCTTCCTCACATCTCACCTGCCTTTGTGCGACCATAGGCTTTTTTCAAGGCTACACTTGTCATACACGACACACTACGACAAGCAACATTTAGACTTGCAATTCTCAACTTCTCCGAGACGAACAATTCGTTGTGGCCCAGAAACGTCACTGACGTGATTTCCAGGCTCCCGAATTGTGACGTGAGGAACCTCACCCGGCGGCGGCGTAGACTCGCAAGCCACTCCCTTGACGCGTGGCTGTTGGTGTCCAGTCCCCACCGCTAGGCGAACGACTGTCTTCACCTACGTTGGTCCTGGGTTCGACTTTAGCGGCTGTGCTCCTCACACCGCGTCCGCGTCCGCTGCCGCCGACGTTCATCCGACGCGCCAGGAGCAGGAAACCCCGCGAGCAGACGAAGCTGGATTAGCGATCAAGTACGGTTGCCCGTTAGTCCATGGCCCACGCATGTACGATAATTACTACTCTACGGCTCTTCATGGCCCTAGTGTATGGTGGCTTGATAATATATATATATCTTATAGCGAATACTCGCCAGAAGACCGGAAATAACTGTCCCCGGATCGCCACGTCATCGTGGGGCAAGTTGAAAAGAAGTCTACAGCCTGCCCTATAGGGGAATGTTGCACAGTAGTACTGAGTATAGGACATTCATGTGAATAGTCCGTGGGCTCATAACAGTCACTGGCATCGTTTGATCAGGCACGATAGGGCAGGGTGTGATGCTCGCCCTGGTCTCTCCGACTCTCTCTCAGACCCAGGGCCTCTCCAACTCGAAGTCGCGCAGCTTCTGCTTCGTAGATTCGCGGCCCTTGATCCAGTCAACGAACGGGCCTATCATAGCACAGACCATGCTCTAAACGAAGTGCATTTTTCTACGGTACTGCGACATGTATGACCGGGAAAGCAAATCCGACTTCTATTTGGCCTTCTTCTGCATGACACGAAAGCCGCGCGCATACTAACCTCATCGATATCTGCGGGGGCATCATCTGGCCCCACTCGACCAGCAAGGGGGAAAACCAGCGTAGATATAGGTCCAAAATCTGGCGCAGTCCTAAACTTTCATTGAGCGGTGCACGCAGAGTGAACGATGATTGGCACGCACCTTCAGCAGTGTCCAGGCCACCGGTACACTTCACCCCCGTACCGTTCCCAAGGCCGCTGCGTACTTCCCAGAACGTAAGCCGATATTGTGAGCAAAGAATCCCAACGAAAGCAATTGAGACGATGGCCGTCAAGCGCAACCGTGGCGAGCGGCGCGGCACCACACCCAATTTGGAGGTTCACACGGGCTCGGCCGAAGCAAATGCGAGCAACTATCTATATCCGTGACATGGCACGTACCTATAGAGAGGACACAGGGTACAGATGGAGTGCAGGGTCAGCTGGAGTGCGATGTGCGAAATGGCGCGGCGCGATGAACCGGCCATTGACTAATGGGCAACCGTAGGATTAGCGTCACGCCGTCGGATCTACCGGATCAGTGTGACTTCCGTCGGATGACCAGCCCTCCCTCGATTGTCTGCCGCTCCTACAGTAGCCCGTCACTCAACTCTGTACCCTATAGCAGTTGTGGTAGCAATGGTGAGGGATTGAGAAGACCAGTTACGCCATGACCTCACGTTCTGTAAACTGAGATGGAGTAAAGCGTGTAGAACGGAGGACAAGAGGCTGACACGACCAATATCAGCAATCGCTGTGAGTCAATTGACTAGCCTATAAATCCTGCGCAGAGACTAAGTAACGATCCCTCTCAATCGTCTTCCATGAGTACATGAACACATGACATATCGCGCGACGCATGGTATATTCCGGTACTGGCTCATCGACCCTAATATCGGAAGTTGTCCGTTAACCCAGATGTATCGTGACTATGTAGCAAGCAAAACGATGAATGAGGCTGGAGGAGAGGAGTCGACATGTCAAAACGGCAGGTCTACTTGCAACTGATAGCACGTTAGACAGCCTACCAAATGGTCAGGGATTGCGCTCCAGTCAAGCTCCTGTCCCTTCAAGGTCACGAAGACCAGGCAGTATTTGGGACGAGGATCGACGTCTATGATGCGGTCGATATACGCCCAACCGCCGGGTGACATGTCTGCTGCCCCGTGTAGGAGCACCTGTACAAGTACCACGGCGACCTTCCCCATTCCTCCAGGATGTGGAGTCTGCGAAGATCTGCGGCCACTCCTCTTGTCCTTCCGCGAGTCGGAACCTTTGTCTCGCTGCGATGACAGTGAGGTTTGCTCAGAGGCCGTACGCGGATCCGCCAGGTCCCTGTCGTTTTCCTCCAGCTGTACGTACAGAATCGCGTGAGGGTACGTGTCCAACAGAGTGAGAGGTACAGCATATGTTCCGGTGTCGAAGCCTGGGAGATCCGCGTCGAAGTATACAACACGGCGAGGTTGTAACAAATGACCCAACTCGAGGGTACCATCCGCCTTGGGAGAATTGACGGGCTGCCAGGGTAAGAACGTGTGGATGTGTCGCGATTGTAATTCAGAGCTGGGGGAGGTTATGAGCGAATGGCAAAGTTGTTCGAAAAGCCAGACCCTGGAGTCGGATAGGTCGTCCGCAGGGAACTGAACGGCGCCCATATTGGTGAATGCCAAAAGTGTGCCAAAATCCAGACACTCGCGTAGAGCGACAGCAGCATGTCTGGAGGCTATGACCGCAATCATGGCCCCAGGAAAGCGAGTGGGACTACGTCGCAAGACCAATAGGTCGGGACTAGGATCCGACCGCACGCAGCCGGTAAAGTCCCAATCTTGCAATGGCAGATGGGCAATTGAAAGAAAGACGTCTTCCTTCAAAGTCTTGAAGTAGGCGATGTAGTCGGGATGAGGCCGTTGCGTCTTTTGTGCATTGTCTAGACGCTGGAAGCAAAGTTTGGGCCTACACCCGAAGACGAGGATGTTTTCCACCAGGATCTTGAAGTGATGTTGGTTTAGTTGAACCTTGTCCTGTATGAGTGCCCTGAGATATATGTTACTTGGGGTCAATGACAAGGCGTTCTGCAACGTACTCGGCTATGATTGAGTGAGGAGAGGGTGCATCGAGCGCGAGAAACTCTACGCCAAACCGTTGGACTCGATAACGAAAATTGACATGGAACGGCTGGCATAATTGAATGAGGAAGAAAAGGGGATCGAGAACGACCACAGGCGGCCCTTGGCCCATGGGAATATCCATGATTACGCTTATCTTCGACCCAAGAACGGCACGCAGTGCGGGGCGGCCGTCCTGACCACGCTCGAGGCGGTCGGTACGAAAGACGCCTGTGGAATGAAACAGGAAGTACGTCGTGCCTTCCGGGGAGAATATGACTGTCTGGGATTTGGAGAGCTGGAACATTAAGATATAATAGCCCAGGTATGTCTTTCCTAGGATACTCCGTTCAGCTCATCGTTCTACGACGTATATTGATTCTGGACGTACCAACGCCGCATTGCCCTTGTATGATTATACCATCTTGCGTTGCAAAAGCGCGATCATAACCCAGTTGATTGAGTATATGGGCGTAATCGCCTCTGAACGCGATCCGGCCACTAGTTTCGGGCAGCTCATGCTTCCAAGGCGTATTGCGGAAGAAACAGGTTTGCAGTGCTGTCGCGCCACCGCCTGGTCCCAACACCTCTTGCGCCATAGCTTTCAGGTGCGAGGCTCGGCTATCACGCTTCCCAGTAGGCCATTCCATCGCTTGGTCCGAGGTCAATCGTTTGTCAAAAGGGTTGAAGAAAAAAAACAAACCTTCCGTCCAACAATCCGGCGGCTCCATCCTGCTGAGCAAGCGTTCACGACCCCAAAATGCCTTCCATGCATCCACATGAGATCCACACGATAGTTGCTCCCAACCCTGCTTTTTGAGGAGTATGACGACGTTCACTCCTGGCATTGTGATGGATCGTGAAGGCGAAGATACGAGGCCAAGTGCTGGACGTCAAGATCAAAGGGGGGGAAGGAAGTTGTGTGAGAGTTGGAGCTTGCTTCTCCCGATATATGCGGAGCAACGGCAGCAAGATACGTGTGTCACAACAATTGCGCGACGACGCCGCATGACCATCCTCAAGCGAACCACCCTAGTTCCTACATCCCCCGAATCGCCCGACATCCCTACTCGACTACGCATTGTCCACAATAACAAATGCCCCTCAATGTCACGACTCGTCGAAAACCTTTGTTAGTGAGGTCTCATGTCAACTGCTGGCACCAAAGGAACCCCCAGCCGCGATGCTCTTATCGAGGCGGGCTATGTCATGGGACGATCTATGATCCGAGATATCGGGTGAGATCGTGCCGTAGAAGCTCAGCTCGCGCACCGGATTTCGGAAGCTGGAATATCCAGGAGTTACGATATCCAGGAGACCATGGCACGACTTCGACCTTGACGCCACTGGCCACCGTCACCTCTCAGCAAATATCTGCATGGACTGGAAGTCGGACGCTCACGTACCTGCGACCGGAACTTGATGATTGTCCCCCTTGCAATGGAGCAGAGAGGCCTCACCACACAAACACCTACTCTGTATGATGCACTTCTACCAGCCTCCTTCGTGGAAATTGCCAGCAGTGAACTCTGAGTCAAATGGCATGCGCTATATTGCATTCGAACGGGACATACGAAACGCAACAGATGAGCACTGACGCACATTGGTATCCAGTGTCGGCAACTGGGTTATGGTCATGTCCGGGGCCCCTGTTAACAACAGCCCCCTCGGAACCTATGGGCACTTTTAGCTTTATATTCGCCGGGGAGAGGGGGGGTTAACCTAGAGTCCTGTAAGCGCCTTCAGGTCGATACTCCAGCCATCGAAGTTATCCAAGGAGTACGGTTGCCACAGCGTGATTGATCTACTCGAGTTTGAATTGAGTTAGCATAGTTGAACCCATAATTGAAATCACAACCTCACTGGAGCGGTAGGAGCCTCGCAAGCACATCTTATCGGATCGGACACTAACCACAACCTTGCACTTGGAGTTACAACCCCACAGTCGTTCAATCCCGGTCAACTGATACAATCAAAGCGAAAGGAGAGGTATCAGCCTGCAACAGTGCTTCAACTTCGATCGGATGGTGCTGAAATAATGGAGGTAATTACCTCGTTCAGCGCTCGACTTCTACCTCGCACGCACCGACTCTCTCACGAAGTCCCCGCTGCTTGAGCAAGCCTGCCACCTCGACCAGATTAGAACTTGCAAGCGCTTACAGGCGAGAAGGTACTTATGTGCTATCCATCATGTCTGGCATGTCCTTTGATGTCAGTCGTCGGGTGAGGAATGGTGCGTCATACCAACACTGACGAGTGTTGGTTTGACCAGCTCCCAGTAATGGCGCATCTATACAACCGAGAGTCTCTGAGGCTCGGAGGCGGTTATTGGTGATTTGTGAACAAGGGCTGGCACCTCTCGCAGCTTCTGTATTTGGGGACTGGCACTATGCTAGTGACGATTGTCCGACAGGTTTCTTGCTCCCTGGATAGAGTTTGCCCACCCTGACACAGAACACGCACCTCGACACACAGAGCCGGCGTGATTACAAGTTTTGTCATCGCAGAGAGCTAGCAGACAGATAGGTGTGACAAGCTTGGTAGCATAAGCTGGTGGTTTGACCTCAGCGAGTCGCGTGAGATGTGCGTCTTTCCATCGGAAGCTCTTCCGACGCCGATAAAAGGTCGCCTGCTTATCATCCGATGGGCCACACGCTGTAGCTCCCAAGCATGCAGACAGTAAAGATTTTCTCCTCACTCACTCATCAGCATAGGTCCAACCTGCCTTGTTTAGCGCGTATTACTCTACTAGTACATAGTCGTACGATACGGGTCTATGTGCCAGGCATGTGGACAGAGGCGCGACGCAATTGTGTCCATAGCGAGTCAATCGTTTCGCTGAATTCAGTCTGCAACGTTTGTACTAGAAGGACATCAAAAATCCACCTTACAAGTCAGCGAGACGCGATAATGGGACGTTACGTCTTAGTAAACTAGGGTACGCTCTCATTTCGAAGCCCGGGAAGACAGAATCTGGCGGAGACACGTCGGAGCCGGCGGTTCCGCCGCGAGCCTTACCAGTGGAGACCGGATCGAAGATAGGAATCGATGCGGCGAAATCCTCTGATAACCGAGTCTAGCAAGCTCGGACTATGGCCACCTGAGTGTGTGATGCCCGGGTGGTACTTGCTATCGAGTTTCGTACATTTTATATTACCCACTTACATGTTTTGCTTTGCTGTGCTGCACTGATGTTGAGTTATGAATAAGCTGACAAGGTTTAAGAACAACCCGCACGGCGCTGATACTGTAGTACAACCGATTGTTGGTCGGCCGCAAGCCCGACGCGGGACACATAGGGTGCTTGCTCGTCGAGGGCTCCGCAGCGTAGGGGCGATCTGCAAACCCTCTTTGGGCCGGACGGGCGCGTCGCACAATCGCCGTCAGAACTCGCTATCTTGAGACCAACCGTGACGTGTGGTGAATTGTGCAGAGTTCGGCGAGTGTTCGACGGCATGCGGGAACGCATAACGAACGTAGAACTATAGTAGTCGGGCACCTCTTGGAGCCTGACATTCGAGACCTTCGAGGGCTTACTGCGAAATTCAAACGAGCGTTCCGTTTTTGCGGCCGTTGCCATGCTGCTACCATTTTGAGCACCTCCTTCAACGTGGGTACCGGAATCAGCCACAAACTGACGGAGCGGCAACGGCTTCGCTGCAAACCACCACCATTGATCCGTGAACACACTCCGTTCTTTCCACACCGCCGCCCGACCCGCCATATATGTCATCGCAAGAGACCTCTTGGCACGTATACAAAACAGATACAGTGGTCGGTCAACGAGGTCCAGACAGTGACCCCCTGCACACGGCCCGCTGCGACAAGCGAGGAGCAACAAAGCGCATAGGACTTGGTGCGCGCCAACGAGATTGGCATTATGGATATCGGACTCGCTTGACAGAGCCTTTAACAGCATGCAGCCGTTGCCGTTTGAGACGCATACGCTGCACGGGTGAAAGGCCACATTGCGCGTCATGTCTCAAAGCGTGTGCACAGTGCAGCTGGCCAGAGAGCAAAAGGAGGGAGCGAACCAAGCAGAGGACGCAGCGGGAGGACCATGGGAAGATCCATGATGAAGACGAGCCGCCAGGGACGCAACTCGTGAGTGATAAAGACGCGCCTCAGTCATCCGTAAGAGCTCTGCATACAAATATATCCTGAATCTCTATTACAGACGTGGAGCCTCTCATCTGCCTACCACGCAGAGCGGTCGTCACCGCAAGTACAGGGCGAACCATACGTATCGATGGATAGCGCGGCTCAGCGCTGCCTTACGTTCCTCACCAATACGGATATGTCTGGTCGGGAGATAGATAATGCGTCGAGGACGGTTGATGTGAGTGAAATAAATAACGTATACAATCGTATGAGATGTCAGGGCTAACTTCATCTTGCCCTCACAGAGAGTGGTACAAACAACGGCCGTCGATGGGGAGGCTCTGGAGAGGTCCCCCGATATCGAGCTCTTTTATCATCGAATCGTGCGCGATGGATGCTACCCGATGCACCTTAACAGCTAATCGAATTCTTAGTCGGGTCCGCAGGGGACAACCGCTGTATCGTAGGCCACCACTATCTTGCAATGCATTATACTGATTGTCGCTCGTAGTCCCGGTGTAACTCGTATCTCACTACACCTCGATTCTTGCTCAGGAGCGGAAAAAAAGCTGAGCAAGTGCAATCGAAGGCTGGGTGAAATATCCGAGTTATACGATGACATGTTTGACAAGCACGGCATGCCGCATCCACATGTATATATACCTCTTCTGGATGCGTTCTTTACAACTGTCGGTCGGTGGGTTGTGGCAGCCCATAATGCATAGCCGTGGCTGACTCTGAACGCCCTTAGATATTTCCCGAGTGTGAGCCCGCGTCGGATCCAGCAGCGTCTAGAGTCAGGGACAATGAGCGCGTTTCTAATGAATAGTGAGGTTTAACGCGCTTTATCAACATGCATTGACCCATCGTAAATCTAGGTATATGTGCGGTCAGCGCTAGGTCAGCGTCCGCGGCATCTTCTTGTATTCACTGCTGAATCGATCCTGTAGATTCGCTCAAGCACCCAGGAATCACGATACTGTGCGACTTTGTTGAATGACTGCAGGTGTTACAGACCGCTTATCTGCGAGGCAGACTACTCAACCTTTCACGAGAATGGCCCAGGAACTTCTTTTGCCTCTTCTACATCTACCGACTGTAGACGTCGCAACAGGACTCCTGCTCCTTTCGTGGGCTTTCTTCGGCCAGGTCGGTCTGAGTTATATCGTGCTTATCGGGTTGCCTGATGCACTCGTAGAACTCCGAAAGCGGTCTATGGGTAGGCGTGCTGTAACTCTGTAAGGTCCACTTAACAAACCGTTGGGCAGCAATACTCAGGGTAAGCGCTTCGAACAGAACTCTCGTCGGCTCAGGATTGCAGACTGATAATCTGTGTAGAATGGCCATTCGTATGGCACTAGATCTTGGCGTTCATGAGGTGCAAACTTGAGTCGACAGTCTGCCTTCCCCCAGCATTGATGAATTGACAGCTGTCCGACATATATGAATGTCCATCCGAACTCGTTCGCGCGCGCCTATTCTTTTGGAGCCTCTTCATGTAAGCACTTGCGCGACGTCCTGCCATCCCATTTACTGAAATTTGCTGGCTTCACTTGCGCAGAACAGTGCGCACTTCCCCAAAACGCTCTGTTAGTGATGGTCATATTTTGTAGGATCGTATAGTTGCGTTTTATACCGGACGTTTACCTTCGATATCGGAAGACATCATCAGGATCCCACTTCCGACCAACGACGACCTGTACGCGGATGAGATGCACGCGTTAGAACCGAAGGCGACACGCGCGCC